TGTTCTTGTGCTTTTTTGTACATTTTTTCTTTTTCTAATAATTATTTATTATGAATTATGATCATTGTACGAAAGGCTGACAGTTTTGTAGCCGCATGAACCTTTTTTTGAATGCACATCGGGGAGTTTGAATGTTTTGCGGAAGTTAGTCCGTGTGCGTTAATGTCCAGATGTGGGTATAACGTCCTACATTTAAATATGTATTTCCACATTTCCACAGTAAAGACCCAAGCGCATTCGCTCGTCTGAAGATGTCGTTGGAGAATCTTCTGCCCCCTGATAGTACAGAGATGTTCAAGTACCAAGTGCTTGTAGACCACTTGAAGGTAGAAGAGGCTTCCCTAATAGCCGAGTCGTACCTGCATTCACCTACACCTTATTCAGACACTATAGCAGCGCTCAATGAGAGGTTCGGTCAACCACACCAGATTGCTTTGAAGAGGATTGCCAACATCATGGACTCACCCAACGTGAACCGCAATGACCCATCAGCCTTTGAGAAGTTCGCCCTCCAAGTGCAATCCCTGGTCGGCATGCTTAAGACGTTAGGCCCTGCAGGAAGTGTTGAGTTAAAGTGTGGCTCTCACGTAGCTCGCCTCCTGAATAAATTACCACCAGAAAGGAGAGCAGACTTCCGTCGCTATATGTTACATCGCCCAGGTACTACTTATTCAATGTCAGATTTCGCAGAGTGGCTGAAGTTTGAGTCATGGTGCCAGGGAGGTGATGACTTGACTATGAGACAGGATAGTGAAGGAAGGGGTGCACAGCGTACCAGACAGCGTCCTTATCACAACATTGCGACCATCCTGCTTGGAGCTGGGGGAGCTCAGAACAACTCTAGTAAATCAGAAGAGGAAGGGGCCTGAGGCAAAGCTAAGCCATATTGCCCTTATTGCAGAAATTCTGAGCATTACTTCAGTCAGTGCCCTGTGGTTCCAACCCTTGCTAAAGACCAAGTAGGGGAATGGATAAAGGCCTAAAGATGTTGGCGTTGTGCTAAGCAACACCTGGCAGCCCAATGTGATTTGAAGAAACCCTGCCCAATCTGCCAGAGGAGGCACTTACGAGTCCTGCACGCTGTCAATGACAGAGTACCAAAGCATGAGCCCAAGGAAGAGACGTGCTTGGTTAGCGCAGCCGCCAAGGTGTTCCATCTAGACAGGCCAGGTAATAGCAGTCGAGTCCTTCTAAAGGTCATCAGAGTATTCCTACACTACCAAGACCAAACAATAGACACCTTTGCCATTCTCGATGACGGGTCTGAACGGACAATGCTTTTACCTGACGCTGCACGAAGACTCGGTCTACTGGGCACACCAGAACATTTGTCTCTCAGCACTATTAGCCATGAGATTCAGACACTTCGAGGTGCATCAGTCTCTTTTCATGTCTCTCCATTCTCTCAGCCAGAAAAACGCTTCCAGATTACAGGAGCCTTTACAGCCCCACATCTGGTTCTAGCGGAACATTCTTACCCCTCCGAAACCCTGAAAAGGAAATACAAACACCTTGCTGGATTGCCAATACCGCAGTTTGAGAATGCTAGGCCTCTAGTCCTGATTGGCGCTGATCACCCTCATATTATTACCCCCATCGGGCCTGTCAGACTGGGACCACCAGGAGGGCCAGCGGCTATCCGAACCAGGCTAGGATGGACGCTTCAGGGTCCCACCATGCTTGTGGAACAGCAGCTCAAACCACACCAGTGTCTGTTCACTTCCACTGTGCCAAGCACCGCTGAGTAGTTAAGAAATGTTGAGAAGCTATGGCAGGTGGATGTAATCCCATTTCAGAGTGAGAAAGAGGTGACCAGATCCAGACAGGATAGAGAAGCGATTGACCTCTTGCAGTCTAGTACAACTCGCGTCAACATCAAAGGGACATGGCGCTACGCAACACCTCTGTTGCGTAAACGCAGCATGCCCCAGTTTCATGCCCCAATGGAAGCAGTTATGCCCCATTTGCGAAATGTAGAGAGGAGGCTTTCTAAAAATCCACAGTTAGCAGACATTTATAAGGGAGAGATCCAGAAGCTAGTCCAGTCTGGTGCTGTGGTGAAGTTAAGATCAGAGGATCTCGAAGCAAGAAGTGAGTGCTGGTTTCTTCCTCATCATATAGTCCATCACAACGGCAAACCTCGGGTGGTGTTCGACTGCTCCTTTCAGCTCCAGGGTGTCAGCTTAAATGATGCACTGCTCCCTGGCCCAACCTTAAGTCCCTCGCTCTTGGGAGTGCTGCTTAGATTTCGTGAGCATGCCGTGGCAATCAGCGCAGACATTAGAGCCATGTTCCATCAGGTTCACCTTTTGCCGGAGGACAGGCCACTCTTGAGATTTGTTTGGCGTGACCTGAAGAAAGATGAAACACCTGATGTCTTTGAATGGCAGGTGCTACCCTTTGGAGCTACTTGCAGCCCTTGCTGCGCAGTGTTCGCTTTGCAGCACCACGTAAGAGAGCACAGTGGAACAGAGGATGATGTAAGACTGTCTGTAGAGCAGTGTTTTTATGTAGATAATTGTTTGCAGAGTGTACCATCAGTTGAAATGGCAACAAGACTAGTAAAGAGGCTGAGGGAGCTATTGGCATTGGGGGGATTTGAGTTGAGGCAATGGGCGAGCAATGTTCCCTGTGTGATCAGTCGTCTTCCATGTGAGGCAAAGTCGGATAGTGCTGAATTATGGCTGGCCCATAGCAGGACGGATGCCCATGAGTCCACACTAGGTCTCAGCTGGAACTGTCCATCAGACACCCTGGCATATAAACACCGACCCATTGAATATGAAGTACCAACAATGCGGGTCATATATAAGGTATTAGCCAGCCAATATGACCCTCTAGGTTTCATTCTCCCCTACACGACTCGAGCTAAGATATTGGTACAGCGTCTGTGGGACCAGCACAGAGGGTGGGATGATCCACATCTCCCACATGAACTGATGCAGGCCTGGAAGGAATGGGAAGATGAGCTACAATTGCTTCCCGGCATAAGTATCCCTCGTCCATACGTTCCAGTAACAGTGTCCACCGCAGAAGCAGTCAGAGACCTCCATGTCTTCTGTGATGCCTCAGAAAGGGCATACGGGTCGGTGGCCTACTTGCGGACAGAAGACAGCAACAACCAGGTCCATTTGTCCTTTGTTATGGCACGTTCTCGAGTGGCACCCAAGAGAATGTTGTCAATGCCACGTTTAGAGCTCTGCGGAGCAGTTAGTGGAGCTCAACTGGCCCAGCTTCTGGAGAAGGAGCTGACCTTGCAAATTCGGCACACTGTCTTTTGGACTGACTCCACTACTGTGTTGAGATGATGACTACAGTCCGACTCCTGCCATTTTAAGGTGTTCGTCGGTACCAGAGTAGCAGAAATCCACGAACTAACTGAGCACTCTTCATGGCGTTATGTTGATTCTCCCAGAAACCCTGCTGATGATCTCACCAGAGGGAAGACCTTGAAAGTAGAGGTCGACCGATATGGGTTTTTCAATAGCCGATGCCGATGACGATATTTAGGAGTCAGGGTCAGC